TCCTTTCCCACTCAGCTTAGTCTTGCCCTTCACTGTTTACAGTATTTTTAGATGAACAGTTTCTATTAATGGAGTTGACCAACTTTTTCTTCTTAAATTTTCCCTGAGATCATGAAACTCTTCTCATAGTATCCATTTTAGTATTTAATATCTGTCCGTCTCTCCTGACCAGACTGTAAGTCCTCTTGTGACAGCAGAGGGGGTAACATCTGGACTCCATTTTGACAGAAAGAACTCATCTTAGAGGCCCATTACTCCTTGCTTTCAGTTAAATTCCATGGTTCAAATGAACCGAACCACACCCTTAAAGGAAAGACTGTATGATAAAATAGTGGGGTTTTCCCTCCAGTTGTGCCACTGAGTTATATAACTCAGAGTATGTCTTCACACACTGCGCTTAAAATGTTCATGGCTTACCCCAGCCCAGTGATGGCGAACCTATGACACGTGTGTCAGAGGTGACACGCGAACTCATTTTTTTGGTTGATTTTTCTTTGTTAAATGGCATTTAAATATATAAAATAAATATCAAAAATTTAAGTCTTTGTTTTACTATGGTTGCAAATATCAAAAAATTTCTATATGTGACACGGCACCAGAGTTAAGTTAGGGTTTTTCAAAATGCTGACACGCCGAGCTAAAAAGGTTCACCATCACTGCCCTAGCCGGTTTGGTTCAGTGGATAGAGTGTCGGCCTGTGGACTGAAGGGTCCCAGGTTCAATTCCGGTCTAGGGCACATGCCCAGGTTGCGGGCTCGATCCCCAGTAGGGGGCGTGCAGGAGGCAGCCTGTCAGATTCTCTCTCATCATTGATGTTTCTCTCTCTCCCTCTCCCTTTCTCTCTGAAATCAATAAAAATATATTTTAAAAATATATACTCATGGCTTTTTTTTTTTAATATTGCACTTTTTAATATTGCACACCATGAACCTTTGACACAAGGCTAGGGCAGATAACTCGGTTAGTATCAAGTGCTATAACATCCTTTCTGAACATCATATTCTGCAAAATAATTGTTCTGTCAAATGGTAACTAGAATATCTGCATAAGCATTATTTTATAGGCCCTTTGAGTGGTCCACTGACCCCCGAAAATACCTTGGAATCAACCGCTGCCAGGTGACAATGGGGGACAACTGCCTCATCCTCATTCCCCAGCCCTATACCCATGCCAAGGCCCCTACATTAGCCATCCACAAGAACCCCTCTGGGGGCTCGACTCCTCTTTTCTGCTCGACTCCCTTGTGCACAAGCTCTTTTTCTTTTTTCTTTTTTTAATATATTTTATTGATTTTTTTTACAGAGAGGAAGGGAGAGAGATAGAGAGTTAGAAACATCGATGAGAGAGAAACATCGACCAGCTGCCTCCTGCACAACCCCCCACTGGGGATATGCCCGCAACCCAGGCACATGCCCTTGACCGGAATCGAACCTGGGACCCTCCAGTCCGCAGGCCGACGCTCTATCCACTGAGCCAGACCGGTTTCGGCAAGCTCTTTTCAATAAACTCCATCTGCTTGATCTTGCACTGAGTTCAGTGCTCATTCCTACGACATGAGACTCAGGAACCTGACAGTAACACACTGAGGAAAATTCTGTAAGCAATAATTCCTCCTGTTCTACTGAAGGAGAAAGTCGAGCAGGGCTGGGTGCTGCACAGCTAGCATTCCATCTGGTCATTACCACAATCTCATTTTCCAAGTGGGGAAACTGAGGCTGAGAGGTTGAGTGACATGGCCAAGAAACACAGGGCTCTGTGGTACATGGGGATCCAAATGGTTTTGAGGGCCAGTCTGGGTACTTCCTACCAGTAAGTCCATAAACATACTAGTCTCTCTGAGCCCTGGTTTCCCCCCATCTGTGAAAGAGAAAACGACTACTTATTATTGTGGAAGAAAAAGTGGTTGGAGAAATCTTAGCTGTGGGCCCGGTTCACAAAGTGTTCGAGAACAGAATGGAAGTGCACCAGCATGTAATTCACAGCCCGCCCAGCTCTGCTGTGCTTCCCTAAGATAGCAGGGCAGAGGGCAGAGCCCCACCCACTCCTCCAGAGGCCAGGAAACACCACGATTAACCGGTGAACTTTTACCCGTATCGGCTCCCCCTCTTCCTAATACCTCTGACTCCCACTGACTTTTCCACCAGGTGCTGCCTAGCCCAGCTGTTGACTCAACCGACATCTGGAACACCACAGCCCATCTGGATCCAGGAAGGATCAGCCCACACGCTCCCACATTACTAAGGGATTGAGACACTCCAGGCACCTGTCCGAGGCTTGCGTGACGAGGGTGGCTGTCCTCTGGAGTGAGGAGGAAGCTGCCAGTTTCGATCTGCACTGATAAGAAGTACGCAGACCTGATCAGTCCCTGGGAAAGTGGAGACTCCCAGCTCACCTGCTTTCAAACCACACAGCCCAGTATTGGAAGGCCACTGACTTTATTGATTTAAAAAACTTTATATGGACAGTGACTGTTTTGCCAAAAGAGAAGCCAAACGTCATTAAACAGACCAGGGGTGAGGGTAGGGGCCAGAAATCCACTCAGAAAAGCTAATTATCGACCTGAAACTGGCAGGGGAAAGAGGAGGGAGATGCATGCAAGAGTGAGAATTCCAAAAAAGTTGAAATGGTGAGGGGAGAGAACTCCCCCAGAGACCCGGACATCGGTGGTGAGCAGACAGCAATCGCTTCCTTGGTAGAGGACAAGGGAGTAGCCCCCACTCAGCTGCAAACTCTGAAGACTCAAGGCTGGCGTTAGGGACGGGGGGCTCCCCAGAGAGCATCACAAGAAGGCGTCACACCACTCTCGAAGGCACCCGAAGCAGTCTCGGGACTGCTTGGCGTTGGCGCCACATGTGTCCTTTAGCCACTCCCGGAAGAGGTCTTCGTCTTTCTTTAGCACCAGAAACTGGCCAAGGACCACATAAGCCTGCAAAACAGGCAAAGCACAGGGCAAGCTGCTCAGTGCTCTGTGAAACTCAAGACAATAAGGCCACGTGTGTGGCCTCCAAACCCCATGAGCCTAGGACAGTGGTCGGCAAACCGCGGCTCGCGAGCCACACGCGGCTCTTTGGCCCCTTGAGTGTGGCTCTTCCACAAAATACCACGTGCGGTGCGCACGTGCGATTGAAACTTCGTGGCCCATGCGCAGAAGTCGGTTTT